ATTAAACTAGAATTGTGTAGCCAGAGGCTTTCAAAATCGGGTTCCATGCAGGCGAGCTTCCATCAGTGCACCAGGGCTTTGGCAGGGTGGTTAACTGGGTAATACCTTGCTTTCTGGCAAAAACCTGATTGGAAAGAGTTACAAATACCCTTTTCGTCCTAATTTGGTACTGCAGCCGAGTGCTGCTCTAGCCCCAGCGCGACTTGGTAGGAAAAGTTTGCGTCCGTGATTTTGTCGGTGCCCGTTTCCCTGCAGATCCTGACATCGGGAGCTTGTTGAACAAAGTTTGGGCTCTTTGGGTGCCCAAATTAAAACACCTTGACTTGTGGTGCTCGGCATTTCTTCTGGCTTAAAAGCACGTAGGTCCTCATCAGTGTTGGATGCAAAGCCCCACTTGTTTCTTTGCTCATTTATAATTGTTTCATCAGGAGTTTTCCTGTGCCTGGGGGAGCACAGGCAGAGCGGGCTGCCTGCTGCTGCCTTCAGATGAGGTGGGAGAGGAGGTAGGGGGGCTTTGGGGTGGTCTTGGCCCTTGGGGACAGCCCCTGTTACCAAAGCTGTTTGAAAATAAAATAATTTTGGATACTTTAGAGGTTAATGTTTTCAAGCCGGTCAGTGAGCCCAGCTTCTTGTTCTCCTCTGCATTAGCAGAGCAGGTGGCCAGAGAGTAAAGGAAGGGGCTGTGCAGCACGGGTGAATATTGCCGGTGTTTTCATACTCGGTGAAGAGCAGGAGGCTTAGGCATCCCAAAATCCCGGGGCTCTGGTGGGAACTGAACCAGGCAGGGCTTTGCATTGGGGTGGGTTTGGTCCACAGCAGTTCTGGATGAAGAATCTGAGCTGGAGAGGACCCTGACTGCCCGAGGTCTTCATTTGTGGGTGTCTCCAGCTGGGGTTCCCCATCCCGACCGCTCCCTGGGCGCAGCCGTACCCTTTGTAATCGTAATGTGGAAGCTCTGCCAGCTCTGGGATGAAGGAGCATTTGGTAAGCCCTGGGTTGTGGGGCTGTGCGGGCGGTGGGGAGTGGGGCTGTCCTGGGCCCTCCTGCCTGAACGGAGCCCCCGAGGTGGGGGGCGGTGGGGGAGGTGGCCGGGCACCGCAGCACACGATGGCCGTGCCCTGAATCCGCTCCTGCCGTGGCACAGGCCTGCCCTGAGCTCCCTAACGTGAAATCCTTGGGGTTGCTTCACTTCTTTCCTCGTTTGCTTTGCTGCTTTTACGATTATTTTTCATCTCCTTTAAAAGGCACTATGAGCTATCCTGTGCTGTTTCTTTTTCCTTTGCAGCCTCAAGGGGGAAATGCTTGCCTGTGAGTACCACTGAAAGCAGCTTGTATGTACTCCCTTTTGGCTTAGTAAGTAGGACTTCTCTTGATTAATGTTGCATGGAAACTACTTTGGGGATGCACAAAGGCATGGAGCAGAAGGAAGTCTTTTGCTGTGTCATAACCTGTCATTAAGGAGGACCTCGGTGTTACCAGGCTGAGCCCCCTGGGCCGGGGGCTCCAGCTGGCCTCGCTGGTGCATTGTGCTTGGGCTGGCTGCCTGCAAAAGTGCATTTCGCCCCGAGCTTACTCCGTCCCTGGACTGGGATGTGGGACGGCTCCGTGCTGGCACTGCCGGGCTGAGCCACGCACCTTGCACTGAGCGGAGCTGGGTCCCGCGTATGTCTCCTCTCCGGGATGAGGTGTGATGATGTTACTGATCGCAGGGATTTTGCAGGAGTCGTTGGATCGTAGCCTGGATGGGAGCGGTGCTGCTCAGCCCCGGTTTCCCATGACTTGAGGGAGCTGGGTGGATTCAGTGTGTGCTTGGAAAGCAGCTGGGCAGATAAACCTTTGTGTGTGGTGGCAGTTGTCACCCAGTCCTCACCGTCACCTCCCTGCGGAGACATCTTTGAATGGGAGTGAAGAGAGCAGGACTGTCTTTCCTCTACGCTAAGGGGAGGACATGTCCTCGTCTGTCCCCCCTCTCCAGGGAGCCAGCAGCCAGCGTCACCTGCGAGACCTTGGCTTCTCTCTCGGCCTCCAAGGAAGGGGCTCGGATGAGACCTTGGCTGCTGGCCCATGCAGAAAGGCCGGAGATGCCCTCGCTTCGCCGTGCTCCCGCCGGCCCCGAGGCCTAGCCCTGCTCTGTTGGTGGCTGCGGTTGGTGGCTGCGGCAGCCCCCGCCGCAACCCCTCGCTTGGCTCACCGGGCGCTTTGCCTGATGCAGTGCATGCAACGCTGATGTTTTTTGTCTCGTAAAAGTGTTTTGCAATTTAGGTGCTCTGTCTGGGGGCCCGGCTGTATTGCACAGCGTGGGGCTGTGGGACGGCTCTCGGCAGCGCCCGTGACACATCCTCCCCGCGGTGCCGTGCTCGTCCCCGTGCGCCGGGGTGACCCACAGCCCCCGGCTGCCCCCACCCCACCCTGGGAGGGGGGCGGGGGAGCAGCGGGCTGTACCGGGGAGCACCCACAGGTGGTGGTGCCTAAGGGTGGGCTAGGAGGCTTCGGGTCATTGTGCGTGGGCTGCCAGGGTCGTTGCTGACCTGCTCTTGCTCTCAGCAAAGCTCTGCTCCCTCCTTGCCTCTGCCCTGGGGCTTTGGGCAAATCCTCTCACTCTGGGTGCTCTGGCATCGAAGGGAGAGCTGGGTTTGGTGCAAGGAAAGTGAAGTGTAGCTGGTTTGGTTTCCAGATGTCAGGTGTTAAGAAAGGATTCAGGTTCGGGTGGGGATCTCACTCCCGTTTGGCTGCGGCAGGGGGGGGCGGGGGTCTCGCTGCCGTAGGAGGTGAGGAAGGCGCAGCTCCTCCCTCTGCCCAGGTAGCTTCCTCCGGGCCTGAGAAACTCCTGCTTGAACGCGTTTGGCCGTTTGGATGTGCAGTTTTTATTTTAATTGCACTTTGTCCTTGAAGTGAAGCTCTTCCAACAATCTTCTCAATGCAACTGCTCTTTCTCCATCACTGGTATCTACACACACGTCACAGGACACAAAGGTATGGGACTGATCCTAAAGTTACCTGCCTCTGTCTCCGATTCTCTAGTTTGTGATAGCATTTTTAATAATGCTGCAGAATTTTCTTACTGACTGTCCTGCCAAAGCTGTGGAAGCGCACAAAGCGTCAAGCTGAGACATTGCTGTAGAGCATCTCCCACGTGGGGATGGCTGCCCTGGGACTGGTCCAGCCGTAGCGCCGCAAGAAGGGCGCGTTTCTCCTGGGCTGCCCGTCTGCCTGGGTTTCAGAGCCCTTAATGTTGAAGATGAAGGGGAAAAGGAGAAGGAACCTGAGCTGGGGGAGCTTGTGATAAATCTGATAAATCGTTGTTCCTATCCTATACTGACTAATGTTAATTTAGAATAAAAGCAGAGGAAAGTTATCCATAGGCTAAAAATCGGAGCCTTCCGCCTTTGGATTTGCCTTTACTCTGGGCTGAAAGGAGCTGTGTGGTTAGAAAATGAATGTATGTGCCAGCTTTGCAAAATTACTTTTCTAACATTGCGCTTGAAGTGTTTCTTTTCCCCCTATGTTTAAACAAATAACACAGACTTCTTAGGAGGGTTTGCGATAAATGGAGGTAACTTGGTCCATCGTCCTTGATTCCAGTACAAACCTCCTTCCTTCTTAATGCTGGTGTTTTGCTTGAGAAAGTGGTGTGTGAGCAGCTGTTACGGATTACCTCTGTCTGATGATGGTTACTTTTTAAGTGTCATTGTCAGGAAAGCTGTTTAGATATTTATTATTTTTTAATTGCAAATAGAAAATGTGTAGGATCTGGATTTGCTGACTGTTGGATTTGAAGTGTGGATGTCTACTGTTAATTGTCAGCAAACTGGCTCCGTAGCTGTGCCGTTTTTTTGTTGCCGAACAGTGCCGGTTAGGTAACAAGGCAGATTGCAGGTATTGATTTACGCGTTGGTTTGCAGTCTCAAACTGGGCACTGACGACGGGAGCCTTCCGAGCACTTTCTGTGCTCCGAGCCGTTGCGTGAGCAGCAGCTGTAGGAGATCCCGGCTGTCGGATTTTAACTGGCGTGATTGTGCATTTGTCAATGTCACTCACGTGTGCTGACCCCAGCGCGGTCCTGTTGTCTGTTGGACCCTCGGTGAGGCAGCAGAAGGAGTTTTATCAAAACTGAGTATTTAGTGTGGTTAATATGCAGAATGATTAATGTTTCTTACATTTGTCCTGGAAGCGTACTTTCCTATGGAGAAGATAAATAAAAGCGAGTAACCCTGAGTAACCAACCTGCTTCGTTATCGCCTGCCGTCCTGCCAGGCGCTCCAGGAACGCTGAGCTTGCAAGGTCCCGGGCTGAGACTGGGAACCCTTCGCGCGGAGCTTTGCAAGAGGTTAAGGGATGGTGCAAAGTGTGAAGCGGCTCGTTAGGTCCTTTCCAACCTAAACGATTCTATGATTATTTGCTCGGGTAGAAGTAAATAAGTAAGTAAACCCTCGGGTGGTTACTGTCACATAGAGCAATTACATGGAGCTGGTTGGATCCACCAGCCGCTGGCTGCTGCCAAGTGTCCGTCCGTCCATCCCCAGCACTGGGCCGAGCTCTGCTGTCCCCTGCTTTGCCATCTCCTGGCTTACCCCGCGTGTAACCTCTACCATTTATCTCTTCTAGAGGATGGCCGGTTTAACAGTGTAGAGGTTTATGCTTTCGTCTCGGATTCGGCTGGGATTTCCGTGGCTGGGAAGAGCCCTGCGGATGGGACTCGAGCATCCCCGGAGCACAGTGAGCCCCACGCCGCTTCGGCCAGTACTCTCCTCTGAAATGTGTTTTTAGAGTCTGCCTGTGTCTTTTCTTTCTGAATGCTGAAATGTCTGTTAATGAGATTGGAGAAAATTTATTATGGAGATTTTTCAACTTCCTTTTAATATGTGTGAGCTGACGTATCCCTGGGCTTTCTGGGACACTAAAATAGTGTCCCATGTCTTTCCTCCTGGTTAGATGGCAAAATTTAACGGCAGTGTATGTGAGGACAAAATGGTCATGTCCACACTTGCTGAAGCAGCTTTTCTTTGGAAGGCGTGTTATCACACCAAATCCCCGGGTTTGTTTTTTGTTTTTTTTAAACTGTTACATTTCCAAGTTCAAACACAGTTATTGTGTTGTTTAACCATCAAAAGAGCTCCAGGTGTCATTTGACTTTGCTTTCGTAACTGCTGATTTGCATCCCCCGATCTGAGCCTGTTCCTTTGCTTTGGGAAGGCTTTTTGCACGAGGGGTAACGCAAGGCACTCCTCAGGTTGGCAAATCCTGCAGGACGTCTCCTGTGAGGGCCAGAAGGGAATAAAAGCTCCGGTCACTCTGGAAACAGCATAGCTACCAGAGCTGTTGAATCTGAGCTCGAGTCCTGCTTTAGCTTTGCACCCTGATCTAACCCACATTCTCTCATTTTTCCTGGGTTTTGTGGACTTTTATCTATTACAGCAGACAACGGGAGCATCTCTTTGCTCAGTGTCTGAGAACAGCAGGGCTGCGTGTGCAGGGCTTGCAAGGAAGCACATGGTTTTTACCAGTTGTCTTTTTAATGTACCGAATTTTAGGCCCACGACAAGTTTTTTAAACCTGCCTATGAATAAGCTGTGAATGTTACTGATGTGTAATGCTGCCTTTAATAGAGTTTAAGCTGCTTTAGTATTTAGTGCGTAGATGGTGAAACTCCCCTGCGGTGCAGCTCGTGCGATGGCTGCCCGTTACTTAAATCCCTCGCTGAGGTGCGGGGGAAGCAATACCCCAAATTTTCAGTTTTCTCCCCCAAGTCTTGACTTGTGTTTTGCCAAACTCCATTTTACTGCACTCCTGTTCTTGCACTAAGGGCAAAATCCCCAGGTTGGGTGAAGAAAGGAGCATTTAGGAGGCTGTTCTCGATCTGCCATTTCCAGTCCCTCCAGGAGTTACACGAGGAACTTCTGTGGGACCCAGGTTGTTTATTATAAATGTGTAAAATAAATGCCGGCCATACGCACAGTAAGGATCTGTGCCTGAGCAACGTCGGTGCCCTGGCTGCGCAGCTCAGCAGCCCCGAAGCCTGAGGTTTACCTGGGGATTTTGAGCTCCAACCTCATTATTTTAAACACTCCTCCAGCTTTAATTTGATAAAGCTGAGATAGACGAGGCCACGGCAAAGGCCCAGGCACTAATCCTGACCCCTTAGGATTTCTGAGGAGCAGAAGTGTGCGTTGATCTAAAGCAACTGTGCCACAGAGGGACGAAATTCAGTGGGTGAGAAACTGAGATTTATTAGTTTTGTTCCTTGGGCTGTTCCCACAGGGCGCAGGTTTGCTGCAGCCTTCTGCTGTCTGTTCTTTGTTTTTAAATGTTACAGTGCTTAGAAATAAGCCAGAAAAAAAAAAAAAGGAGGAAAAAATGTTGGAGGAAGAGGTTTATAGCCTGTTGCATGGTAATACTCACTGTGACTCCCCAGGAATGCTCTAAACGCACAAACCCGCATCGAGCTGGCTGCTCCGACCGAGAGACCTGCTCTGCACGGAAAAAAGAGTAGAAATGTACTGTAGGATGTTTACGCGTAATATGCTGTGATAACTTGCTAAGGAGTTAATTATATTTGTATCATGAGCAGTTGTAAGGAGATAAAATATGTATTTTTTACCTGCCAGGATTCATGAATGTAGCTGCTAATATGTTGGCGGTCATAACTTTTTTTTTAATCACTGCTAAAAATCAGGTCTGCAGTTTTGGATCCCTGACTGTGGGTCCCTGATTCCTGTCGAGTGGGTCCTTGCTTTGGCCATGGGATGGAGCCCCTCCGCTGTCTCTGCAGATGGCAGCGTTTGTGCCTTGGTGTTCTAATTAAAGCCTAACTATAGCCTTTTCCTTCTGTATTTTAACTTCCAAAAGGTGTAAATACGTGTGTCTGGAGCAGAGCAGCAGTAGATTTGCGATCATTATTTTGCCGTGTGGGTGAATCTTGCCTGATGTTGACAAGTCCCAGGGTCCTGCCAAGCCCCCAGCTCCCGGGTTGGCCGGACTGGGGTGATGCCAGTGAGCCCATGCGTCTCCCCAGCCCCAGACACGCTGGTGAGTCCCTATGCCAGATATTTCCTTGAAATCACCTGATTTCCTTGGCACAGTGCGTGCAAATACGCCAGAATAAACAACAATTGCACAACGTACCTGACCTGAGGATTAGCAGTGGTTTGTGCTGTCAGTCGTACCGGAGCTGCTGGCTTGGGCTGGGCAGGCAGAGGAGGTGAATTTGGAGGTGTGGAAGTGGGCTTGGTGCCTTCACGAGGATTGCACCACAAGTGGGGCTTTTTTTCTGTATTCCCCTGACTTTCTCTCCCCTTCTGTCAGCAGAGGTGGTGGTGGCTGCTGTCTCCTTCGGTGAGCAGTGGCAGGGCCACCCATGGGACCTGCATCGCTGTCCCTGAGCCGCAGCCCAAGGCTGGCTGGCCCATCAGCGTTATGGGTCATTTTAGAGAAAAATGATCGCTCGGGCAAAACCCTTTCCATCTCTGCTGCCAGTGATGGGGAAAATTGGAAAGTGAGGAAAAAGGCTTAAGACCAGCCCGGGTACCTTGAGCTTGTGTACGCTGGCTGTGACGTTGGAGCTGCCGCTGGCTGTATGGCATCCCCTTCCCGGTAGCTTGGCGGTGGGTGACGGTCAAGGCCAGCCCAGCCGCCACGCGCCGAGGAGCAGCCTTGGGAGGAGAAGCATCGCTGCCAGCGCTTCCATGAACCGCCTGCCCCAGGGGTATGTCCCAAACCCGCACCCCATGCTCCTCGGATGGGTGCTGGGCGAGCGCTGCCGGTGCCCCCTCCACCTCTCCTGCTGCTCCTCTGTCTCCAAACACTGTTTGCGAACTGCATCTCTCCATTTAGTGTTTAGCGAGATGGATGTTACGTGTCCACTTGCAATTTTGCTACACTATTGCTTTCTAATGTTTTTTTAGGTTTTAAAAAAAAATGCAATGTATGTAATCTTGTGCTGTGTGTAAACTTGAGCATAAATATCCTATCAGCATTTATTTACAATAAAGAGATTTTAAAAAAAATAGATCTAGTTTTCTCTGTTATTTTCCATTATTGTTTGCTGTAACTACCTGTTGTGTGCTGAGTTTGTGAGATAATGGTGAATTCGAGGGGTCTCTGGAAAGTGTTTGGAGGAAGAGGGTCTGCAGGGGAGGGCAGGCATCCCTGGCTTTTGGGAGGTGGGTTGGAAATGGTGAATGCTGCAGTTCCCCTTCCCTCATCAATTTTAGGAGTGTTTTTTATTGGAGCTATTGGAATTCAGATTGTCAGGTTTTCCATGGAGATGTTAGGGTAGGAACACTCTTTTTAAAGCACATCTCTTTCTAGGGGAAAAAAAAGGTCAAGAGGACCAACTGGTGTGACCCTGCCTGTGATTTCCATCTTCTGCAGCTGGAAACCAGCTGGTCCTGAAGGGACTCACCAGCCGCTGCCTGAAGAGAGGCAACCTTGGATGTGGTCAAGGAAAACCCCTTTTATCCTGTTTATCCTGCTGCAGGTTGAGGAGGTCTGAGGGGTGTTTAGCAGCTGTCGGAGCAGGAGATGGCTCTCGGTGTGGCTCTGTCCTGGCTGATGCTCATGGTCATGAGCACCCTGTGCGGGTGCTAAATAACCTTCTGGGTGCCCCCAGGGAAGTTGCTGATTTTTCAGCACACAAATCAGCTTGTTCTGAGTCATCTGGAAAAAAAATAAATCTAGAAAGCTTATGTTTGTGTTTGCGATTAACTGGATTCTTGTAAATATTCAGTGGAGGTCAGTGCCTGCTTGAGTAACGAGGGGCCTGTTGTGAGCAAGCCCCCGCTCGTGGGGCGAGGGCAGGCAGCCTTTTGCCGTGTTTTACAGAGTAAGAACTAAATCCGTTTCATTGTATTTTGGCATGGACTCAAGTGAACTTCGGAAAGGTAATATATCCCACTTGGCGTTAGGAACATGGTAAATTTTTCTGGCAAACCCCCTCAGATTTGGCAGAGCAAATCAATACCTGCGAGAAGCACAGCCTGGGGTAAGAAGTCCATTGCCAGGTTCTTGATGGTGATTCAAGCCTGGATGAAGCCGTGCAGCCAAAGTGCAAAAGGAGCAAATGGTTACAGCTCCTGCCAAAACTCTTGTTACCGGAAAGTGACCCCGCAGCGACGGCCGGATTCGGGAGCAGCTTTCAGCGAGACGAAGGGCAGCGGGGTTCCCATCATGGACCTGGGCATTCAGCTCGGAGCGATGCTCCCTGGGACCTTGGGCGCTGCGGAGCTCCAGCTGCGGTGGCTTTAATGGGATTAGGTGGAGCTGGTTAAAGAAAGTGTAATTTGAATAATGACCATAGGCTTTTGAGGTCAGAAGTGATGAGCTCATGGTTGACGTGCCCCAGGGTGAAGCAGTCCTCTTGGAGGCCCCCATAGTGTGCCCAAGGTCCCTGGGGACCAGCACCAGCTGGGTGCTATTGCTGCAAGGTGGAATGGGCAGCATCCTGCTCAGCAAGGATCATTTCAACAAAGAGTTGGCAGCTCTACACAGAAAACAAACAATTTCAACATCTGCTTGGGTTGCATTCAGTTTTCTAGTGTTTTGCTTTATGGGTTGAATAAACTACTTCCTTCTTGCTTAGAGGAGGAGTTAATGATTTATGGGTCAACTGGCACAAGTCTGGTCTCTGCAGAATTCAAACTTTTCTGCAAGGAGCCGTATCTGAGCGCGGAGGCGTATCCTAACTCCTCCTTTAGCACGGCGGTGCCTGGGGCGGGGGGACTGGACGAGGACAGTCATCGCTTTGTCTTGCAAGAGCCGAGCACGCTGGGTCTCTCCATCTCCTGCTGCCAGACCTCCAGGTAAGAGACAGCTTCAAGCCGTACAGCTTGAGCTGGTGTTGCTCTTTGGAACTGGACTGGAGCTTTCTTGCAACGCTAGCAGGCACAAAGATTAGTAAATTAAACCAAGAACTGTAACGAGGATCGAAGGAAAGTCAGAGGAATGAAACAGCCAGGAGAAAAGAGTTAGGTCTAGGGCAGAAAGCATCAAGGCAGAGTCGTTTCCAGGAGGAAGGTAGGCACTTGGAGCGTACATAATGTCGGGAGGGTCTAAGCTCATAAATGATGAGCCTCGAAACAAGGAGAGGACTCTTGCTGATCTCTAGAGGTGCCAGGTTAGTCCAAATTGCTCTTAAATTCCATTTTGTAAAGCAGTTCGGTCTCCTGAATGACTTGTATGCTTTACAGCTTTACTCCAGTTAATGTTATTTGCACAAAACTGATGAATCTTTTTTGTTAGATGCGTCTCTCTCTCTCCACACGTGATTTATTGTTAGGAGACTGTACTGACGCCAGCAGGATTTCATCTGACTATGAATTTACTTCCAAGAGATTTGTTATTAAAACAAAATACTTTATCGGTATGCTAAGTTTCAGGGGACTTTTTCCAGAAAGCATAGATAAACTCGTGGCCTATTAATTTGGCTGGTTGGCTGGGAAGAAAACTATGTTGGCAATATAGCGTTTTTAAGACAAACCTGACAAGCTACAAAGTATTTATGTTATGGTTTGAGTGGAGCTGTTAGTCTGTCTTTTTTTTTTTTTTCAATTTTATTTTAAAATTTTAATCAAAAGCTACATTCTCAGAAATGCAATTAAATGAGACTAGTGGAACAAAGCCTATGGGAATTGCTTAACATCTGCAATCAGTTGTCCTGTTTATGTTACATTTTCATGTCTCTGGGTCTCGTCTGCTGGTGCCAGCCTTCCTCGCCCAAATCCAGCTCTGCCCCAGCTCCTCCGCGCTGGGTCTCGGTCCCATCGACCGGAGAGGAGCCGGCAGCGGAGCTGCTCCCCTCTCTCGCAGAGCGCTGCGATAGCTCCTGCAGCTTCTGGTCCCCAGCCACCAGTGTAGGAACCACTTGGGGATGGAGAAATGAGACCCGTCCGTATCAGCTACGGTTATCCTGAGCGTAAATACCCCCCTGCTATTTTTACAGATATTTGGCCAAGGAAAAGAATGTGGTAACTTCTCTGGGATCTCCGGACAGGAATAAAGAAAGATGCTAGCATTGGAGCTGGGGAGGCAGAGGGATCGCGCCACTGTCCTTGGGTTATTCCTCACCGCTGCTCTTGTTGTGGCTGTCCAGAGTAAGTGAATGAGTCCGTCGGGATAAACTAAGATCCCTCGAAGGAAAACCTTTTCCTTGGGTTCACAAGACTTGGATCCTTCTCTTTTCCTCATTGCCTTTGCGTTTCAAGAACATTGTACATCTTTGTGATCAGAATCCATCTTCCTTTGCCTTTTTTTTCCTTTCTGCATCAAACGGATGTAAAATTATTCCAGTTGAAAAAGGAGCAATGGTTTATACTGGCTGGGGAGAGGAACGGGTTAGTCTGGACTTCGTGACCAGCCTTTGAAACTGCTGGATGAGGTGTGAGGAGCGAACAGGACCTGGTGGGGTGATGCTCCTCCCCTGTCCCGGCCGGCCTCAGCCATCCCCAGGCGCAGGCTGCGCTTCTCCTCTTTGTTTCTACCCATAAGGAGCTTTAAGGCCACCAAAGTGTCCTCGCCTGGACCTTCAGAGTAAATCAGGCCTGAACTCCCACTGCTTTTCCTCCCAGCATCTTTCTGATGGAGTTTCTGTCGGTAGGTGCCTGCGATGTTCCGCCACGTCTCCCGTCTGCAGAACTCAAAGAGCAATACCATGGCATAAGCACATTTCCCTATAATTCAGTGGTGGAATACGTCTGCCGACCAGGTTACATGAAAAATGTGAATACCCAAAACGTCCTTGTTTGTGGAAGGAACAATAGGTGGCACGGATCAAAGGAGATGTGTTTACGTGAGTATATTTTTGGGTTGATTTTTGATTTTGTTTTTCATTCACTGGTGCTATTGGCTCATTTTGTTGGAGCAATATCCAAAGTGACCCCATGGGATGGCAGGGGTGACCTGACATGAAGCACGGGCTGTATTCTGCTAAGTACTGCCAGTGACGGCAAAAGCTGAAATCTGCTTTGATGCTGGCTGTGCTTGATTGCTGACTCCAAGGATGCTCTTCTGCTCAGGCACTTTGTAACTCCTGGTTCAAAAAAAGTATTTCAAACTTGCAGTAGGAGGATCCTTTAGCTGTGAAGAAATGCTGTCGTGCTTGCCAGGGTTGCTGCAAAACCCCAGTTATGCTGCAGAGGCTGGCCGCAGGTCATGACAAGTCTTAAGAGCATCATGAATCATGGAATAATTTAGGGTCGGAGGGGAAATCCAGAGGTCTCTGGTCCATCCCTTTGCTCAGTATTGGAGGATTCTTTTTGCTTTCCTGCGGCATTTTCCCACTTGTTCAAGAAAGTGAAATAAGAGCTAACTCCGGTCCTGTTGTCCCCCAGCAAAGCTGTGTGCCTACCCTGGCGAGCCGGCCAACGGCAGACTCCTCCTAGCAGGAAGGTTCATTTTTGGGTCAGCAGTGAACTTCGCCTGCAACACTGGGTAAGCCAGGAGCACGCACGGCACAGGTCCTCTTCTTCCCCAGCAATTTTTCTGTAGTCTTTGCCCTCTAGGTTAAAGCCTGGGCTGTCAGAAGCCTTACCGGTGTGGGTAATGGCAGACTGTGATGGAAATATCTTTTGAGCTTTCCTTTGAAATCTTGAAGACTGATTGAGTTTTCTTAATCTCATACTTTGAGGCAGTTCTTCCCAAACTCGAGTTCACTCTCCTGGCCCTTCTTCAACCATTTCCAATGTTTCAGTGTCTTTTCAAAGAAAAGGCATCAATACTGAACTCAGAGCTGTCGTGATAGCTACAGCAGGCTGATGAAGCAGACGTTTTTCCTTGGAAACCATGTAATTTTTTTTTTTTTGTTTAAAAAAGTGCCTTTGTCAAAAGCCAGCATGTCATTGAACAAATGACATTGATGGCAAATTTCTGATCAGCTGTAATTATGACAAGGAAGCCAAAACCATCCTGATGGTGATGTTATAGGTGATACATCAAAACTGAGTTTGTCAAGTAATTCTCTCTCTCCTGTTTCACACAGGTACAGACTGGTTGGAAATTCTCAAATTCAGTGTGTGATTAAAAACGGGGTTGTTACATGGGACAGAGATGTTCCCACCTGTGAGCGTAAGTAAAGTTCCTTAATTGATCTACTGCTTAAATGTTACTGGGGATGGATAAAGAAGCAGTCACATTGCCCTGCTGAGGATTTCAGCAGTTTGATGCATGGTTAGAGTCTGGAAAGACTTTTTTCCTTTGTATTTTTCTTCCTGCATCATCCTGCAGAAATATTTATTCACTGTCTGGGAGTAAGGCAGCTGCATGTAAGACTGGTATATCCCCAAACCACTCGGTGCCTGGGGCAGAGCTCTGTTGCCTGTGGGCTGGCGTGCCTCTCCCTTGAGACTTAACTTCTGACCCTTCTGGCACCTCATCTTTCAACTTTTTCTTACCAGACCTTTGGTTCAAAACTAATTAAGTTCTTTCTCTCTTCTTCTTCCTTCCCTCTACCATTTCCCCCACCCCTTCCCCAGCAATACCCTGTTCACCCCCTCCAGAAATAGCTAACGGAGAGCACAACGGAGCTGGCAAAGAGCTCTTCGAATACGGGACATCCATCACTTACAGGTGCCACACCGTCAAAAGGGGAGAGAAACCTTTCTCGATGGTGGGAGATGCTTCTATTTTCTGCACAACCACGGATAATGTAAATGGTGTCTGGAACAAGCCAGCCCCGGAGTGCAAAGGTGAGCAGCTCCCTCGCACGGGGTGCGGTACGTGCCTGCAAGCTCACCCAGGCGCTGCGGCAGCACCAGCCGCAGCCCACTGCCTGGGCTGCCAGGGATGTTTTCGTCCTTGGAGCGGTCTCTCGCCTTTATGTTGCTGGAATTACCTCTTGCAGATGAGACCCTCTGGGTTTGGTAGCAGTAACAGGAATTAGGGTCTCCCATCGCAGGGACCGCTACTGCTCACGGTCACCGAGTCGGCAGGGATGTGGGGACGGGATTTTGTTAGTGTTCGCAGACCAGCTGAGGCATCTGGCCAGCCAGCCTGTGTAAAACATAACGCCTACAAAGAATTCAGAAACCTGCTGTCATACCTCCTGCCTTTCTTATGTTCTTTATACACTTTGCCTTCATAAAACAATGCTGTCATATGGAGTAAGGAGTTCAAAAATACCACGTCAGCCTGCTACCTTGTCATGTCCATTTTGAGCCTTTTTGATGAACACATCTTATGCTACGGGAATGTTTTTAACACCTTCATCTCCCCTCTTGAGCATAACTGCTGATTTCCTAAGTGGTGCCGTTTCCCTGACGCAGTGGTTAACTGCGAGCATCCCAGCGTGGAGAACGGGAAGCTGCTGAGCGGGTACCGGGCTGAGTACACCTACAGAGACACCGTCATGTTCGACTGCAACTTTCGCTACACCATGAACGGCAGCGATGCGTCCACCTGCAAAGAAAACGGCCGCTGGGACCCTCCGTTGCCACTCTGTCAGCTCAGTAAGTGTCCTGGACCGAGCGCTGCTCCGCCTCATCCAGCAGCTTCACTGAAGTTCCCACCCATCTAAGAAAGCGTTAGGTCATGAAGGTGATGGCCCCGAGATTTAACTTTTTTCTTTTTTTTTTTTTTTAATGGCTAATCTCTCTGTAGCACTAAAGTGACTTTAGGAATTTATGACTTGGGGCCATAGAGACTAAAGCCTGCTCCCATTCAAGCTGGTGAGCCTTTCGCAGTAGAATTTAAAGGGACTAAATTAACCTTTCCATATTTAATATTTTTAAAGTTTGTTGGTAGAGCCTCAGATATTATAAACTTTATTAGAAATTACATCTCATTATGGCAGTGAAAATTACCACGCAGTCCAAAATTATTTGTATGTTTTCATTTGTCCCCTTTGCATTCACTCTTTAGCGTTACTGAACGCAGACAATTAAGCGCATCTCAGAACGAACGATGTGAACCCATGGTTTTTACCCAAATTCTCTCTTTGGTGTTACATGCCATTATGGGCCTCGCTGATTTATCACTGGCAATGTCCCTAAATTGGAATTTCATTCCTAGGTAGCTGCGATGACCCTCCAGATGTGCCTAATGCTGTCAAAACAAAACTTGCTGGCAATCTCTTTCCTGTGGAGACTGTCATTACCTACGAGTGCAGGGAGGGCCACCAGTTCAGCCCGGGAGAAAACACGCGGCACATCAAGTGTCTGCCGGATTTTACGTGGACTGAAATTCCAGATCCTTGCAGAAGTAAGTGTATGTTCCTGTGGCTGGCTTACCCTTGTGATTTGACAAAATTATTACTGAACGAAGAAGCTGTACGTGGTCTGCTGTTGTGCAGATCGCAGGGTGGGGGATGCTCCGAGTGCCCAGCTTGGCACGTCTCTGGCCTTTGCTGTGACTCTTGAACCCCTTTGATTTATTTCTCTGCTTTATTTACCAGCTATGCTTTCTAGTCCTGTGAACCTGTGGAAAAAGTCATTGCGGTGTTGAGGCCCCCTTGCTCCATCCGAGGGGAGGCTGCAGTTGCAGAGTCCCTTGCAAACACCCCATCCCTCAGGAGCACCCAGGGATGGCCTTGGGGCAGATTGAGTGTTGTGATGTCTTTGTCTTACAAAGCATTCATCCTTCTGTTTACAATGTTTATTTGCTGTCCTCCAGATGGCTTTGGTTTCACACTTGCTAATTTTTGACATTTCTCAGGAATTCATTGCTCAAATCCAGACATCAGTAATGGAAAGCCCGTACATGTATGGGAAGCTAAAGATGAGTATCTGTATGGCGACAGACTGGAAATTATGTGTAATGATGGCTACACTTTCAAAGGTCATGGCAATAGCATTGCGCTTCGGTGTGCAAGTGATGGGAGATGGGATCCAGCAGTACCAGAGTGCACTGAAGGTAGGTGAACCACGCTGACCTGGCGACTGCTTGTTTTTGACTGCAAAGGTTTAGGTCACTCTGTAGAGCGTAGTTGTCTGCTGACATTCGCAGAAAAATCTACATGTGGCCTTAGATGATGGTAGTAGTAGCCAAGGAGAACATTGCTCTACTGCCATGTAGCCCCAGACCTAGTCCTCTTGTGTTAACTTGAAGAAATAGGCAGCAAAAGATCCAGGTGGATCATTATATTGCCTGGGGACTGCTGAGGAAAAAGCACGGGTTCTGGCAGGGGGCTGAGCTAGTGTCTGGGGACGTTGGGTGTTGGTACCTCTTAAAGGCTTAGGAGGTTCCTAAGAAGCCGAGGAGACATCTACCCAGCTGGAAGGGGATGTGGTTTGTGCTTTTGGACGACAGCTGGCCTGGTTTGCTGACATGAGGCTTGGGAGCAGAGGACGTTCGCGATGCATTTCCCCTCAGAAGAAAAAGCAACAGCATAAATAACTGACACTGCTGAAACTAATAACCGAGCAATGGGGCACCATAGCAATACTAGCGAGCTGCTGGAAGCAGCCTGAGCCCCAAAGCCCAGGAAAACGTTGCCGGGGGAAAGAGCCCGTTCCACCTCACAGGGCAGCCAGCATGAGAGCATGGACCGTTCCTTGCCCTGGCCCTAACGCTGCTGTGAGGGGCTCAGCAGCCTCGTGAGTGCGGCTCAGCGGGGAAGCAGGGGCTGCAGACCTTGGGACGATAACGTTGCGTGATGCCAGGAGTCCCGGGGGGAGGCTTGGCTGAGCACGGACCCAGCTCTGCAGCATGCGCCTTTCCCAACAGCTTCAGAAAAACGTGACTGTAGCAGCAGAAACTCCTTTAGACTTACAAAGGAAGTGTTGAGACCTGCGTCTGGATGATAGTCACCTTTTTTTCCAGGGTTCACATGTTCTTGATAACTGTCTTCTCCATAGAAAGCATCTTTGCTGGAGTTCTTTCTGAAAATACATGACATCCTTTATTTCCATCGTTTCCAGAACGTCATTGCCCAAAGCCAGATATTGCTCACGGAAGAGAGGTTTATAAAAGCAAAAATGACTACACAGTTGGGACCCAACTGAGGCTGGTGTGTGATTCGGGCTATGTTCTCAGGGGCCAGGACTCAACCGAGTGTCAGGCTGATGCAGCCTGGGCTCCCCCGTTACCATTTTGTGATAAAGGTATGTGTAACGCGGTGCCGAGGAGAAATCTCGTGCATCGGTATTCAGAAACAGCAGTCGGTGGGTGACCTGCCTTCAGCATCTGCCTCTGGGAAACAGGACGGTGATCACTGGTTCGTGGGCTGACAGTGTTGATGTGGCTTCTCCCTGGAGATGTGACCCTGGTGGGAGCTGAGCGAGGAGTGGGAGCCTTGAGCTGCTGTAAGAGGCAAGAGGCCAGGCAGCAACTTCATGTGAATTTGCCACACTGCAAACATGAAGTTAACTCTTCTACTGATTTCCCAGAAGCGATTTTGGTTCTCACCTGATTATGATAGTTGTGCATTTCTTTTCTCATCAATTCCCTTTATTCCACAGTCTGTGGCCCCCCTCCAAAAATCACCAACGGGCAGCACTCTGGCTCGAGAACGGAGCGGTTCCCCTACGGCGCAGAGGTGACGTACAGCTGTGGGGAGGGTCTGTCCCTCGTTGGGGACACCTCCATCTACTGCACCTCCGACGATGGGGTGAACCTGGCGTGGAGCGGACCTGCCCCGGAGTGCAGGGGTGAGCTGTTTCTCCTGTATGGAATTGGACTGAAGCCAGGACCTGGGTAGGATGCTGGGGCTAAGCCCCAGCCCTGTTACCTGCCCTGGTCCAGGAGCTCCAAACCCAGAGCAGCTTAACGACCGTGCGGCTCCTCTGGCTCCTGTGCGAAGGTCTCGGCACCACGAGCTGTTCAGTAACACCAGGGACTGGTAGGGTCTCCTTGGGGGCCGCTGCAGGCAGCTGAGGGTCAATTCTTGTGTTCGAGTATAGAACTGATGCAGAGAGCACCAGGAAGAGGGGCTGTGGCCTGGTTCCCGGTTGTCCCTGGGGAAGGGCAGCAGCCAAACGCCCCGCTCCCACCTCCGCTCTCTTCCCGCAGTGGTTCGGTGCCCCAAGCCCACTGTCGAGAGGGGAAGGATGACTCCGCAGAGGTTCACGTTTCCCTACGGGGCGGCCGTGCAGTTCTCCTGTGATGAAGGCTTCGTGCTGCGGGGCGATGCCGAGAGCCGGTGCCTGGCCGACGGCACCTGGCACCCTCCCCTGCCCACTTGCCAGCCAGGTGGGTACCAGACCCCGACAGATGCCCTGCAACTAGGGCCAGGGGTGCTGCTCCTTTGAATCAGCAACAGGTTTGTAGAGCATTTTCTCCTCCATCTCCTCCAATTATATTTTTTTTGGCATGCATTTGCCTTTCAGTTCGATGCCCCAAGCCCCTGACACAGGAGGACCTAGTGATGTACCCTTCTAAATTATGGTACGAGGTGAATGAAACTCTGTTCTTCTACTGCATGCGTAATGGCCGTCAATCAGGAAATACACAAATTACCTGCTCAGCTAACGGCACTTGGATACCACCGCCCACATGTGTAAGTACCACCATCTGCCCAGGCCTTGTCTGTGTCTTGCCCCATTTATAGCCCGAAATAGTGCTGGTCCGATTTCGTGGCTGTTTGCTTCGCTCCGGTAGGGCTGGTCTGGGTGGGGGGCTGCAGTGGGAGGGGGATGCTCGGCACGTAGGTCCCTGCAGCGGAGTCCCATGCCCTCTGTCTTTGTTTTGGTTCTTTTAAAGAAAAAGCGTGATACCTGTGAGAAGATTCTTCAAAACAGAGAAGATTTCCAGTGTGGAGTTCCTCTGACAGAACTGAAAACTCTGCTGGAAGTCCAGAAACTGCACCTGGAGATCCAGAAACTTGAAAAGGAGCTAAAAATCACAGCGTACGGCTGACTTCTGTCACTGGTATCACAAGAACCATCCTCTTTGCGTGTTGAATAATCACGCTGACTGAGGATTTTTTTTTTTATGACCTCGTAATTTGTGCTAATACTTAAGTAGCCAGAACAAAATTTACCAATCAGTCAAGGAACAGACTGGGTCATACGGGGAGTCAGAAGGTGACTTCTGGCTCATTCCGTTGGAGCTCACTGGGTTAGGTTCGTACATCACTTTATACACGTCAAAGCTTTATGTTTAGGTATGGTTGTCACACTGGCAAGCGCGCGGTTAGAAAGGAACTGAGCGGCAAGTAAATTTTGGTGGGAGCTGAGCAGCTGGCGTGCAGAGAGGCAGTGCGTGGGGAGAGCCACCGGCCCACGCTCACCCCACGGCTGCTGCAACCCAGTACAGCCCCCTGCTACTCCGTCCCGTCGGTGTGAACAAGTACTTAACTGCCTAATTAGCTGTGACCCTCCGAGCAGGCACAATGAAGAAAACTTCAAAGCCTGTTTTCTAGTAAAACCAAAATGCCAGGTTTTCTTCCCAAGGAGGGCAGATGTGTCTGAGGCCGTGGCAGTGCTGCTCGCTGCATCTTTGTGTGTGCACCAAGAGCAGTTGTTGGGAATAAAAGTGGAAAGAAAGAAAGAGCTGATTTTTTTTCTGCAACATCCAGTAAAGCGCTCAGTTAGCGTGCATCTTGTGATCGGACCAGTACTCCTTCACCACAAGATTATAATAAAGCTGCAATTGTAATGACAGCTGTGTCTGGCTTTTAATAATTCTATCTACAGTAAAGGAAAGAGGGGCTTCGGTAATGATTGCTTGGCTAGGCACGGAGGGCTGCTGTTCCCTGAGCGCAGTGCGGGGCTGGGGGGGTTTGCACGGCAGCCTCTCCCCCCCACCTCGGGGTAAAGAGGCAACGTGAACGTACAGCACTGCCCAGCGCACCCATCAGCAGCTCCCGGCACTTCAGAAATGAGGCCAGGATCCCGTAAAGTGTTCCTAGCTGTAAAATAGCTTTATTCCCACTGTCCCCCCGGGGGAAGAAGGCAGAGCAGCCTTCCCTCCCATTGCACATCCTTGCTGGAGAGAGCTCAGGGAGGGCAGCCCTGGCCTTGGGCAGGTCAGAAGGGCTGGGGGGTGGCAGTGTCGGAAAAAGCCGTGGCTTGTCGGGCCTGTCCCCAACTTCCCACAGCTGCTTCCCCTTCCCCGGCACACTGCGGCGGGCTCTCGGCAGGGAGAGGCTCTCGCCTTCCCGCAGCGCTGGCCCCGCGCCCCCCTGCACCATGCCCGTGTTTCTCCGCCGGCCGGGGCAGCTGCTGGCGGTGGTGGTGCTTGTGATGCAGCCAGTTGGGGGTCTCGGTGAGTGTCGCTCCCCTGCTCCTTTTCTTTGCTTACAGATCAAATACGTAATAACGAGGTCAGTACGATTCAG